GATGCCATGATCTTAGTTTTCTGAATGTTGAGTTTTAAGCCAACTTTTTCACTCTCCTCTTTCACTTTCATCAAGAGGCTATTTGGTTCTTCTTCACTTTCTGCCATAAGGGTGGTGTCATCTGCATATCTGAGGTTATTGATATTTCTACCGACAATATTGATTCCAGCTTGTGCTTCATCCAGCCTAGTGTTTCTCATGATGTACTCTCATATAAGTTAAATAAACAGGGTGACAATATACAGTCTTGACATACTCCTTTCCTGATCTGGAACCAGTTTAGATTATTACAAGATATTGAATATAGTTCCCTGTGCTATACAGTAGGTGCTTATTGTTTATTTGCTTTAGATATAATAGTGTGTGTCTTAATTCCAAGCTCCTAATTTATTCCTCTTGAGCTTTTGGCTTTGTTCCGGTGGCACTGAAAGAAGCTCCACCTTAAACAGTTCTAGGCTGAGAAACTTAGTCCGAAGTATCATTTTTTAAATAAAGGGATAGGATTTCTCTAGAGTCCTTTCCATCATTGACCTTCTAGAAATACAAGTTTTTTGCTTTTCATATATTTTGTCATAGTGACTCTGGGCTGATTTACAGATAATCTGGTTCACCTTCTCTGGTGTTGTCGTTACCATCTTTCAATCTTTTCCATCTTCTCACCACTTTATTCCACTCCAATTTCCTTCTATCACCCCTCCCCCTTTTCTCTTTGTGGATTGTACAGGAGTGAATTAAAGTATTATATGAATGTAGAATGTCTAGCCTTATAAGGAGATGTTTCATTGTTTTTACCTCCCTGTGCCTAGCTTCAGTGTGAGATCAGTAGAGAGCTAAATTTCCCTTCTACTTTTTGAGTCTGCGGATGCTTATCTTGTGGGCATGTTTCATACAGCTCACAACAATGCTTGGGTACCACACCTGTTTTTTTCTTCCCCATAGTGCTGAGACTACTTATCACTGTGCCTAATGCCTTGCCATCTCTTAAACTGGGATGACTCACTGACTTATATCTCCTTCGTAGATGCAGAAAATGAAAAGATCCTACTTTTTCTTATCCCCAAGCTTTATTGGTGGTGAGGTGAGGTTCAGTACAATCTGGGACTGGTCAGTACACCCTGTGGAAAATCTACTGACTCTTCTAGGAGCACATTTCTCTATTTTCTCTGTCTGAAATACTCCAGGGCACTGTTCTCTGTGGAGGTGCAGTTATTGGTATTATAAACATGCCTCCCCTTCTTCACAATCTTCTCTCATCTGCCTCTAACTCCTTACCAGAGGACCTTCTAGGCATCTATTTTATAGGAACTGGGGCTTCTCATTAGGTTAGAATCTGGGTGGGAAGAACTGTGGGGAGAGAGGCATGCACTTGTTATCTGTATGATCTTGAGTTAATCACCTTCTCAAGGGGGATTTCACTATATTCATAGAGTTACAGTTCCATGGCTGCACAGGACATTTAGACCTGTTCACTGCCTCTTTCATGAGCCAGATACTGCTTTCTGTGATTTTTACATCCTTGGTTGGAAAACCACATGACTTCAGTGTGACCATAAACTAACACGGAACCAAAAGCTCTGAGAGGGAGACTGAGTGGGGTGAAGGGTGTTTCCTCCTCTGGGCTCCTCGCAGTCCGGCTCCTGGCTCCTCCCTCAAAGGCTCTGGGTTGGCATCTGAAGTCAGCTGGCGTTTTTCCCATGCATGAGCTTCGCTGCCTGGCACGCACTTAGCACAGAGGGGAAGGCAACAATAATATCAAAAGAGACGAAGTAGGAGGATGGATCTGAACACACAGACAGAGTTTTCCTATAAAACAGAAACACTTGCAGTAGAACCTGTGAAAAATGGCACCAATTACATAAAGCGAAATGCCGCCCATTTAAATTCTCTCTGTTCCTGACTATTTATGACTTTTTGTCCAAGACTCGATACATGTCTGTACAAACAAAAAGTGGAACCAGTCCCATCTGTTAGGTATAAGGGGGCTGTGCTGGGGGAACAGCTAAGAAAACATTAGCAGCATGTCATTGGAGAACTTCAGAGGCTGAACACAGAGGCCCTTCAGTTACAACTTTGCCCCTTCCATATTTTCCCCTTTTGGAGTTAGTTGTAGGAAGATGATTCATTTTATTGAGAGGTTTAAAATTAAATTTAAATTAATTTAAGTGTAAGGAGTTTCTGTTTTGATGGATCACCCAGACTGTCCTGCTTTTAAATAAAGCAAAATAAAATAACAAATCCTGTTTTCCAGGGCAACTTTACCTTTCAATTCTGCCGGAGGTGGTCCAGGGCTCACAGCTGGTTTCCCGAGAGGCCGCCACAAGAGGGCGACAACGTCACAGTGGAGAAGGGCCAGCTGCTTCTGTTGGACACCAACACCAGCATCCTCAGCTTCCTCCACGTGAAAGGTTCGTGGAGTTTGGAGATGGTGGCATTATTACATATGATCCTGTCATCTTAGAGGCAGGGGTCCAGGGGACATTTTGGATAAGTTCCAGCACCTGGTTGACAATTTATTCTCAGAACAAATTGAGATTTCACTATGAAAGGAAGAAGTGGTCAGAGGGTTCAAAACGAAAGCCTTTTCTTTCGATTCTTAAAAACACAGAGCTTGATTATTTTAGTTTTTCAAGTACAAAAGGGTGAACAGTGTTCTCCAAGAATATACTTCTTTATTCAAGCCCTTTGTATTCATGCTTGTCCCTGGCAGCACCCACAATATAGCAAAAGGCTCTGAAATCAGTTACTGCTGCCGCCTTTGAAATCCCCAGCCAAGAAGGCAGTGCCTTCATGCTTTCACCCTGTTGTGGTTTTGACTTCCTGGTCCCGTGGAAAGTCATATAAATAGGCTTCCTTATTGCAAAACTGGCCACATAGCTCTAGGATCTGGGAATTTGGGAGAGACTGAAAATTCAAATTTTAACTCTCCACCCTACCCCCAAGTGATTATGTCATTTTTTTCCACCTCCTCGTGCATTTGTTTCCTTATCTGTTAAATGAGAATAAAAATCATTGCCTACTTCAGTAGTAGATAATAAGGAATGGTTATCAAAGGGACTCTTGTTCATTGGCAAATGAAAATTACTTGGGAAATGTGATTAGTTATGGAGATCTATAAAATGACACTAAAGCACCATTCCTTACTATAAATATATTTAACATTTATAGGAGCATTTGTTCTTGTTAAAGTAAGAGGGTGGCTATATGAGAGAGAATAAAATATTTTCCAGGGAATAAGCTGATGGAGTGTGACTACCCATCTCTTAAAGGTGGACTCATTAAGAATTTTACATTCTTTACTCTGGAAGCCGTTTTTTTCCCCTCTGGCAGCAAGGAGAAGTTTTCAGGCAAATCACTTAATTAGTACCCTTTAGGAAAAGGGTCTGTGAGCTTGGGTTCCTGACTTGTCTTTGTGGTGTGTGCATGTGTATAGCCAGTGGCTATGGGGAGTGCTGACTTATTGACAGCTAGCAGCTACCTAAGGACTGGCAATGACAAAGGAAAATTACAGACTTCAAGTCTCAGCTCAGGGAAAAGATGCTCTTTTCAGGCCTTTAACCAGGACTCTCACCACAGGAGTCAGATTCTGTTGGAGGATGTGATGCCCATCAGGCACTCTAGGGTCTTTTCCTAACCTTGATACCATTTGGGAGAAGTCTCCAAGCTAAAAGTCCTCAGACTCAGCCCATATGAGTGTCAGGATTTCCTAGTAGTCCCAGGTAAATGTTCCATCAAGGAATGGTATTTGTCCATGGGGCCAGAGACTAAAGATGGAGAAAGAGGCATCAGAGGGAAAGCAGAGAGTAAGAGAAAGGCAGGGGCCGGTGGACACACAACCTGACTTCTGCTGTTGGAGTTTTTAAAATCCAAGCATCCCAAACACTTTCTCCAGCCTGTCAGTAGTGGTTTCTTTAAGTACTCCTGGTTCAATACTTCACTCTCATCATTTAGTACAAGTGACTAGGTTTAGAAGGACAAACCCTCATCCTGTGGAGAGGTAAAGACTGTTATGTGCAGGGTCTCCCCTCTCTCGGGAAGTAGGACCATTGGTAGGATTGTGAAGGTAAGTGCTGGACACCAGTTTATGTACAAACAGGAGTTGCTGCTATGGAACAGGGTTGCCTAGAAATTGAGATTTTCATCACAAATTTATGGGTCATAGCTTCTGGAAAGCATGAGACCTGGGAAAGGACACAGATGAAATTTGGTGTAACCGATGACTTGTGAATACTTACTAAGTGGCCTAGGAACTCATTTTGAGACATAAGAAGTGAAGTATAACACTTAATACAAATAATGTGCATTACTACTAAAGAAAAAGTAGTTAGCCAGCAAGTATAGAAGAGTAGAATGTCTAGTTCTAAAATGTGTTGTAAGGATTTCCCTGATGGTTCAGTGGTTAAGACATCACCTTCCAAAGCAGGGGTATGGGTTTGATCCCTGGCTAGGGAAGATTTCATATGTCTCATGGTCAAAAAGCCAAAACATAAAACAAAAACAATATTGTAACAAATTCAACACAGAAATTAAAAATGGCCCACATAAAAAATCTTAAAAGAAGATAAAATGTGTTGTAGAAAGTAAGGCAGGATGTGGATGGGAATAATCCGAGTGTCCAGGATGTAAGAGCAGAATTAGTGGAGAGGAGGTGGAAAGCATGTGCTTTGTCCCTGAGACAAGTTTTGATTGTGTAGATATCAATGTATGCACAGACTCAAAGTGGGAAAGACTTCCCCGTCTCACTTGATAGCTAGAGCTGCGTGTTCAGTTACTCAGTCACGTCTGACTCTTTGTGACCCCGTGGACTGTAGCCCATCAGGCTTCTCTGTCCATGGGATTCTCCAGGCAAGAAATACTGGAGTGGTTTGTCATTTCCTCCTCCAGTGGATCTTCCCAACCCAGGTATTGAACCCATGTCTCCTTCGGCTCCTACATTGGCAGGTGGATTGTTTACCACTGAGCCACTTGGGAAGCCAGTGGCTCAGGCCAAAAATCTTGACAGCATCCTAGACATCTTTCTTTATCTCATATCCCATGACCAATCCATCAGTGACTCTTGTTTCCTGAATCTCCAACTTGTGTCCCATCGTACCAATCTAGTCCTAATCAACATAACTTTTTGGATGGGACCATCTCAAACAACTTCTTTGTTGGTTTCTGTTTCTAATTTTTTTGCCTTCTTTAGTAGCAGAACCTAAGTTTTTATTTGGGGCAGCAGTATAGCCAGCTAAAACGCTGCATTTCCCGATCTCCTTTGTGAGTAGACAGCCTGTGGCTAAAAGCTGGCCAGTGAGATGTAAGGGGAAGCATGGTGCAGGACACCTAGGACGTGTCCTAAAGTAGGGCTGACCTAGCAGGAGGCATGTCCTACTTGTCCCTCCTTCTTTCTCTTCTCTGCTTCCTGGAATGTAAATATGATTCCTACATTTTTAGCTGCCATCTTGGACTGTGAATTGACACCTTAAGTATGGGGAAGTAGAAGAAAGGAAGACATCCGGGATCATGATGACTTTTGAGTTGCATACTAGCATGGTACCTGGGGCTGCCCACCTCTGAAGTCACTTTTTGTGATAGAAAAGTATGCCTTCATGTGTTTAAGTAATTGGTATTTGAGGTTTATGCTGTAGAGTAAAATAACCCCCAATAATTTATTATCCACATCCTTTAAAATATGTCAGATCTTTCACTTCTTTTTTCAACCTACCCCTACACCAATGGCTTCTCATCTCATTAGGAATAAGTTTCACACCATTATTAAACTTCAAATCCCTTCACTGACCTTGTCTTCCTCATTCACTCTGATCTAGCTCTTCTGTGAATATACCAGGAACACACCTGCCTCAAGGTCTTTGCACATAATGCCCTTTGCCTGGAATATTCTTCCTCCAGATGTTCATGTGACTAGCTCACTTATTTAATTCTCTGTTTGAGAAAATGTCAACTTATTACAGAGGACTTACTGGCTATCTTTTCTAAAATTATAATAATCCTATTACTCTATCCTTTTCTTCTGCTTCACTTTTCTTCATAGCACTTACCATCATCACATGACATACTATAAGTTTACTTGTTTACATACAGTCTATTTCCTCTGCTAGGACAAGCTCAAAAAGGCAAAGAATTTCCATCAATTATTTACTGCTGTCTCTTCAGTGTTTAGGACCATGCCTGACCCATAATGAGGGCTCGAAAAACATGTACTAATTGTTGAGTGGATGGACAAATGAAATGGTGCAGAATTCAGGTCTTGGATGAAATTTAAGAAGTCTCGGATAAATTTTAAATCCTTGCTGTCTTGAATATCACTTTTCCCAACCAATTTACTTTTACTGTCCTTAGTTGTGCATGTGAAATCTATCTATATACATATGTATATATATATATACATAAATTTAGTATATAATAAAAATAGTCATAAGAGATAGGTACATAAATTTACATATAGTCACATACAAACACATGTATATACATATACACATCTACATTAAAAAAGCGTATCTTCATGAGTTAAAAACCCACTGCTAAATTATTTTTCTGTTTCTAAAATGCATATGAAGAATGCTTTCCCCGAGGAAGAACTCCAGCTCTCAACTCTGGTTGACATGGCATAGTTCTAAACCTCTAATGTCTTCTCTTGGTCCATAACAGGTGTGAAAGTACTTGAAGGATAAGAAAAATCCAACAGCAGTTCGCTCTCTGAGTATCTGTTATTATCTTTTCTCATACCCGTTCATGACCAGAAGAATAACTCTGTGACATTTTCTTTGTTCTTTGACACCATCTATGGGATGAGACAAAGCATGAAAGATTTCAAGCCAAAAAATAATGACTTCAAAAGATTTTAGTGAACAAGATATTACAATGAAAGTACTTTCTAAGCCATTTCCACAGTATTATGAAGAAAATATTCTACATAAAGTATGTACACACTTTGAAAAGATTAGTGCTAAATAGAAGTGAAACTAGATCACCTGAGAACTACATTTGGAACCACTTAATGAAGATACTGCATCCTCCATATTATTTTTCCACTCATGGAAACCAGAATCCTAATATATACAGGCACCAGGCTCCTCCGTCAGGAAAACTAACACTTATGCATATGGCCCTTGAGAATTCTGAACTTACCTGTGCCTTCCGTATAGTTCCAAGTATAAAATAGAACTTTTTTTTAACTTCTTTTTTCAACCTACCCCTACACCAATGGCTTCTCATCTCATTAGGAATAAGTTTCACACCATTATTAAACTTCAAATCCCTTCACTGACCTTGTCTTCCTCATTCACTCTGATCTAGCTCTTCTGTGAATATACCAGGAACACACCTGCCTCAAGGTCTTTGCACATAATGCCCTTTGCCTGGAATATTCTTCCTCCAGATGTTCATGTGACTAGCTCACTTATTTAAT